TGCTACGAGGTGAGCAGCTTTGCTCTAACTTGCACTGTGATTCATGATGTTCTGTCTCACCACATACCCCAGAAATGACAGAGGCAAGAAACCATGCACTGAGCAGAAAAACCAGCTTTTCCTATTTCATTGGGGTTATCTCAGGCATTTTGTCATAGTGATAGAAAGCTAATGAATGCAGGTCCTCACTGTGCAGCAACAGTAAGTCTTGGTTAACCACAGACACCTAACATAGGACCGTGAGTAACTTCCCATGTAGGTTTATCAGAAACCAGATGATTTTTTTTCAAACAAAGTAGAACATGTATCCTAGCAGCAGAAAGAAACCCTGGAAGAATGAAGTGGAGGAGGAGCCTGGGTCTACTGAATAATGACGGCATGTCTCAGTAGAGGAATCAGTTGGGTAATGCAGACAGGAGCACTGAGGCAAGAGAAACAACATGGGTGGGGTGTGCTAGAGAGGAACACACTTCCTCCCAACTTTGCTAAGGGGCAGTCCAGGCCCTGAAATGGCACAGAGGTCATAGGCCATCTTGGCTAATGGCTCTGCTGTCCTGTCTTGCCTACTATTTTAACATGGCAGCTCACATTTTTATTTTGCACCAGGCCACACCTATTGTGCAGCTAGAACTGCCTAACCACACATCTTAACTAATAGCCATGCCAGATCCTTACTGGTAACTTTTACATCCTCCACAGGAACAAACCACAGCAAATAGACACTTCTGATGCAACACTCCAAGTGGAAGGTCATCCAATGGCTTTAAGATCCTTACTGTATCTTTTATTCACAAAGTAATATTTAATAAAGAGTCCAAGGAATTTCTTCATTTTCTGTCAGACCAATGAAGCACCAATAGGAAAAATAAATCAATGTAAACCTTAAAGATGTTGAATGAATAATCATGAACCCTAGCAGTGGTTCCCACACCAGGGGATGACACTTAGTAGGCATTGGTTACCATCTAAAGATTTCATCCGGCGGACTGAAAGCCTCTAATAAAATAGCAGGCTTGAACTCATGTGTGGAGGAAAAGATGTACCTCATCCTCAGGAAATATCAATGAAGTCCTTGGAATGGACTACATTATGTCTTAAGGTATGACAGAGTCTAGACCTTGGTCACTGAGCATGTGGCCTTTAGGAAATGAAGTCTTGGGAAATATAATTAGAAAGAGGTTATCCTGGACTAGTATGATCCCAACACCCAATGACTGGTGACCTTAAAGAAATCTATAATGACACAGAAGATGGTGAAATGAAGATGGAGCAGGAATATAAGCCAAGGGAACCCCAAGGATTGCCAGCCACATGGATAGGTAGGCGAGGGCATGGGGCATCTCCAGAAGGAGCCAATGCCCACAGTTTGGGTATAGACTCTGACATCTAAAACTTATTTTCTTTTTTTGAGACAGGGTTTCCTCTGTGTAACAGCGCTAGCTGTCCTGAAACTAGCTCTGTAGACCAGAGCTGGCCTTGAACTCACAGAGATCTGCCTGCTTCTATGTGCTGGGATTAAAGGCAAGCACCACCATCGCCCAGTCAATTTTGGTTGTTTTAAGTTAGCAAGTTTGTGTTTATTTGTTATGACAGAGGCAGGAACTTAGTGGAGGCCTCATAGATAATAACAAAGTTCTTGAAAACTGGGGAAAATACACATGATCCAGGCCTAAAAATTGTAATCCTTCATTTACTTTTTAAACAAATGAAGGACATTCAGTACATGGTAGAACACATTTAAAGAAATAGTATCATCAGACTTCATTTCATTTTGTTATACATATTCAGCAAGGGAGGAAGAAAACAATTGTGGAAAGAAAGAAGAGCCTACAGAAGTGAGGACATAAAGCAAAAAAAAAATATATGTCATAGAGAAAAACAAATACAAAGACAGAGGGGAGTGAGAGGCACAAAAGGGTGAGTAATTACAGTAATAGTCAAAGTGTACATCAAATAAATTCTTACCCAGGGGACAGAGAAGTGACATATCATTAACACACATCTCTTTTGCAAGTTTAATTAGCCCAGAGCAAAGAAAGCATTGGGCATAACAATAACAGACCTGCTGGTCAGCATGTCAACATTAAACCCTGCAAAGGTCCCATTTTATAGGCAAGGCAACTGATGCTAAGAGAGCTCAGCTCATTTCCAGAGATCCCAGAGTGGTCACGATGCTTATCTGTAGCTGCCTTGCCATGTGCTGATGGCACGGAAGGACACTGATTCAGGTTGCTGGGGCTTGGGGTTTGCTCACCTGGAGAGTTTTAGAGGTGAGCCACAAATGTACTGAAGAGACTGTTCCACCTACAGAAAGAGAGCTTCTTCTGACAGCCAGACAACAGAGTGGAAGCTCTTTCTGTTCCTCCATAGACAATTTTAATTTCTATTGGAGTCTTAATTTCACCATTGTCACCGAGTGTAGTAAGTGCAAGGAGCCCTAGGGAACCCAGCTTTGAGTGAACCAATACAGCAGTAGCACAGAAGTTTGAAAAGTACTCGAGTATGGCACGAAGTGAGGCGTAACTCCCAAAGCTTTTGCACTGGTTGTTGGATATTTTTCTTTTATTTCCAGGCAGTGTTGTTTGAAAAGCAGGTACCAGGTATGCTCTGTTCTCTGGAGGGTATGAGGAGGACACATTCCCAGTGTCGTGTGGTGTTGAGAGCTTCTGTTCATACCCCATGTAGAAGTTCCTGAGTATAGCATGGAAGAGGTTTCCTTAATTCCCCCCGCCCAAACAGACCTGAGGAGTGAGGTATCAGGCTCTGCTGGCAGATTCCTATCTCAGGTAAGAGTTCAGATAGCAAAGAAAAAGCTATTTGCTGATAAGCACAAAAACCATGACTATGCATTCTTGTTATTCAACACTAACTCCATGCTATGTACACAATATCTTCCAATAATAAATTAGGAAAGTCCCAGAATACATCCCATTAGAAGTAAACATAAATAAAAAGGTGATGTAAAATTAAGGTCTAAAACACAAATTACAAGTAGCTAGTGGGGCCCTTGGCAAACGCCTGCTTTCTTTAGTTAGTGACTTATTCCTAAAAACCCATGGATATATTTGCAGCAATGACATGTTTTTAGAATATTTTCCCAAAAGATCATGTTAAGTTTCTGTTTGTAGTCACTTGAGGGTAAAGGACCTAGGGTGGAAGGAATGAGTAACAGCACAGTGAATGCCTCCTCCATCCCCAGCCACTTATTCTAAAGAACAAAGGCAGGGACAATACCACTGAAAGCCACAGTTAACTGCTGCAGGGCTCTTAGGTTTCAAAGATGTCTGTGTAAGCCACAAAAGGGGTGTGTTCCTGTCTGTCTCATGGATCCACCTGGAACAACATATATATGCTTTTTTGTTTTGTTTTGTTTTGTTTTTTTTCCCACCCTCTCTCCATGGTACACTAAATGCTTTGTTCTTCTACCAATATATCTTGGGAACAAAATTAGGGAGTAAGATTCAACTATTCTTTTTCAAAGTGTCTTAACATTTCCCCTTCGGAGAGGTAGGTTAAAACAGACTGGCACTGGTTTGGAAAGTGCCCATCACCTGAGTACATGTATGTTTTGAACTCATGGGGTATATCCACTGAGCAGCTATTTCACTAATGCAATCAAACTGCACCTTCAGAGCACAATCATTGGAATTTTGGAGAGGAAGGAAAGGGATCTGCAAATCCAGCAAGACTTATCCTGTCATGGCTGGCAATGCTTCCACAGGATGCTCAAACCAGGGGTTTCTGTCAAAAGTCAGAAAAATACTTTCTTAAGGAAAGAACAGGTCACAGGGGTTAAAACAGAAAACCAGAAAATAAAAGTGGACTTTTCATGCTCCAGACCTGTCATTATTCAGTGATGGGAGGAAGACAAAAGTCTTATCATGGAAGAGACCCCAAACAGCACACCTCTGCACCCATCATTAAAACCATAGGGTTGAAGGATTCCATTTCTCTGGTCAAGGATAGCAGGCAAAGGCCTGAGCTGTATGATTTTCTGAAGTAGAAGTGCAGAGACAGACCAGGCTAACACAAATGCCAATTTAACAGGTGCACTTATATCCTTAGGAAGGGCTGACCCTTCACGAGCAGCAGCAGGGATGGTTTCCTTGTTCCTGTTGCTCAATCTTATTTCCACGGCCAGAGGCCCCAGAAGGAAAACAGAATTCAACAGAGGAGGGCAAGCCACAGTAACTCCCTACCTGTTCTTTTCTTTCCAAATCCTGCATCTGAAACCTCCTGGCTTCACATATCACCTCCCATATCATTCACTTAGGTGGATCTCTAACGTGGCAACATCCTTCTCCCCACCCCCGGCAGCTTCTCATGCTGGGGAATTTGTCATCAGTTTTCCCTTTGAACACTTATTGGACCACATAGCAGGGCAAAAGAAACAGGCCTTCATTTTCTGGCAGCAGCTCCCATCCATGGGAAAAACCACTTACACTCCTATCAGGTCCCCTATCTTTCTGTTTAGACTGGAGAACAGGGGCAAGCTTGGCCAGGCTGTAAGGTGTCCCTGAACCCAAAGCACCCACACAAGCCAGTGAATGGGTTCTCTCCCCATGACATCTGCAGCTGTCTGTGTGAAACAGGCTTCTTAGAGTCACCGAAAACAAAAGACAAAACAGCGAACATGAAGTGGACAACTGTTTGCACTCACACAGACAGCAGCAGCCCTTCTTCTGGGTGGAAAAGTACTGCTAGGTTTGTGCAGAACACTTCTAAATGCCACCAACCGGGAATCTTCTGCTACCCTTTCACCCGGCATGGAAAGATGCAGAGGAAGTGGGCCTGGCTCCCAGAACTATTTCCATACACGTGTATGTATTAAGAGCAGTAGTGCCGAGCCAGCTTTCTCTGGCTTCCAGTTTGACACACGGCAGCAGCAGGGTTATGTGAAAAACAAAGAATTTGCTGCCTCTTGCCTTTCTGACTAGAGACCAGGTGGAAGTCATCAAGGAGCCTCTCCCCAGGGCAGCAGAAAGGATGTGGACACTCACCTTGAAGTTGTGTGTCTTCTCATAGTTGAAGTGGTTGTCGTTGTGTGTGAGGGCCGCTCTTCGGACGAGTGAGGAGATCTGTGAACAAGCAAAGAGCTTGAGAGGAGACCAAAGAAAGCCACCTTTGAGTCCCACCTTCACCCCAAACGCAATGGCCAGCAGCTCTTGGCGTTTCCTGCCAGGCTTGGACTTCCGAACCACAGCACATTTTCTCTCATTTTCCAGCCACAGTTCCTGAGAGAACATAGTGCTTGGGGTCTGGGATCTTCCGAGTCTCCCCCTGTGGAGCTCTCTAAAGCCAGCAGAGCTTTGGGACTGTGGCAGCAGATTTGAGGCAGCTGTGTCCTGTCTGCAGCGCCCTGAGGCATGTGACCTGGAAAGGACTGATTGAGTGATGGAGGGGGCTCTGGCTGAGTAGGGATGGGCCTGCTTTGTGCTATTTCTTAAGGCTGGCATGTGCCTGGAACAATAACACACATTCATGTGTAGCCACCCCCAGATTATCCAGTTGGTTGAGGGGATCCAGGAGGCAGCAATGTGGGCACACAGACACAGACATATAGACACACATATGCACACACACACACACACACACACACACACACACACACACACGCTCCTTGTGGTGTTCCGAGTCAATGCTGCATCCTATTATTCTAGGCCTCTGAACCTCACCCTAAGCTGACCTCCAGCAGACTAAACCTTTAAACCCACGTGATTGTTCAATCTTATAGGGATAAACTCACACTATTTTTTTTTTTTTAGCTGCACAGTACTTGAAAACATTATCTTTATTCTTACACATTTATCAAACTGCAACAGTCTGGGCCCAAGCAGCTTGTGGGAGAAGTGCAAAGCATTTGGCTCTGTGCTCAGCAAACTCCCAGGCCAGAGGGTCAGAGGGCAAGGCTGCCTCTCTTTGGGATTCTACCATCTTCCCCCACTGCCTCCCGCTGCTCCTGCAATCCCTCAACTAAAACCCAAATGTCACTGCTCATTTTTTCTTTTAAACAAAGCATCTCAGATATGCATTTTGTGAGTGCCCCAGCCTACCTTTATGCCCTTTGTGCTTTTAAAAGCATTGGATTGGATTTGGGATTACAGTGTTTGATCTCAGGTCTCTCTGTTAATAGAAGTTGGGGATTGGGGTGTCTTGGGAGTACTTTAATGCAGCTAATACCAGACAGACAGTAAAATCAATACTTTCGGAGCTAGAAAGCAAAGAGAATGCAGAAGGCTGGGTGAACAGAATGATGGGGGATTCTCAAATTTCATCTTGTGTCCTATGAGACATGGCCTGTGTCTAAGCAGAGCCCTTCCAAGTGCCCAGTGGCAACTAACCTCAGTCATTTCCCTGAGTGATTCTCCATTTCCATGCCCCATCATTTCAGCTTGGTTCAGAAGCTCATTTTCCCATTTCATCTTGCTACCTTTTTTATCAGAAATAGCAGCCAAAGCTTTAGTCTCTTGTAGGAACTTACACTGTGCCAGGCAACACTGAGACTGTACTAAAGTAAATTTACTCATTTAATTTCCAGCATAAGGGTATAAGGGCCAAGATGCTTAGGCCCATTTTCTGGATGAAAATACTGAGGCCCTGGGAGGTCACATAATTTGCTGAAGGACACACATCTTGTATCAGTAGCAGAATCCCACAGTCTGCGGCTGAAACAAGTCCTGACCTTGTTAGCTTTAACTGGTCTCAATATTCATTTGCCCCACAGATCCCCCAAAAATCTCTTTTCTGGAATATTAAACATTCCCATGAAGCAGCTTCCTGCTCTTCTTTAGAATATTACAGCATCATTTAAACACACCGAAATCCTTACCAACATTCAAATTCTAATCCAGTGCTGCCCTTGCCAAGGAAACAATCCCAAACTTCCCACTGGCGGAACCCCCCCCTCCCCGTACCATTCTTCATTGCACTTACCACTGTCTTAGTGGAAGCAGAGACAGTTCTGATTCTCCATTACACCAAGAACGCAGGCAATTCCCCCTGTGCCTGGGTTACCTTTGGTTCCCCCTGCAAGTCTCTCATGGGATTCCTTGCTATAGCAGCCACTGAACTCATACAAGGTTCTAGAAAGCCCTAGCACATGAAGGGAACCAGAAGTCTGGAGAAAGGGGAGCAAAGGTGTGCCAAATGAGGGGGGTCTCCTACTCAAGCTATGATCATCACTGCCTACACCCCCGGCTTCTCAAGGCCAGGACTGCCCAAGGCCATTTTCTCCTAATGGCTCCTTTCCCTGGTGCAGCCCTGAGGTTCAGGGGTTTTCATTCATCAGGGGATGAATGGGGGTTTGGTATACCTTACAAACATTTCCAGTTTTAGCCTAAGGGCAAAATGTTGGAGGCCAGGGATAAAGACTTTTCTCAAACCTTCATTGCTAGTAAATGAACAGAGACCTTGTGACTGACGTAAAGAGCCAGCTCTTGAGTGTGTGCGAGGCAGTGTGTGAGTATACCATTTGAGAATCAGACTGACTAACTCTTTATACGGCAAGTGGGTAGCAGAGTCTTCTCTTTGTGGTGGGTTTCTGCTTGAATACAAGATTTAATCTTTTTTCTTGCATGTGTGTCATTACTTATAACCAGCGATTTTTATTTCTATTCATGACAGTGACTTCTTTTTCAGACAGTTTCCAGATCATTTACGCAAAGACAAGATGCATTCAGTCATGGGCAGGGACCACAACACTGTCCTTCTAAAGTCCTCTTTACAAGGACTGAGTGTTAGCTCCCCAGGGGAATGATAACTCTGGGGACACTCTGAGTTACCCTCTTACTACAGGAAAAGAATGGTTACCAGAATCTCTTGGTGACCTCCTGTTAGGAAATGCCCCCATGGACAGTTTGTCTACACATCTCCAGGGAAGCGCTCCAGTCCTTCCCTTCCCCCACAGCACACAGCAGGAGTTGCTGTCCTCAACACTTGTCTCCATCTGGTCTATACATTTGAGATTGGGCACTTTTCTCTGTATGTCCTATTTAAACCTGGGATTCTCCCTGGGCCAGCTCAGTCTTTATTTTGAGGGGCTGTGCTGTGTGCTGGAAGCTGTTTGGCAGAACCCCTTGGCTCTCCTCACAGGATACCTGTAGAACTCCCACTGTGATCACCTGAAGGTCATTGCCTAATATTGAGCAATCTGCCACCACAGGGGCTTGCCTGGCTTAACTTAATACCATAACATGTGTTTACTACATGCCAAATACTACGCTAGGTACATTCCATGTTTGGATTCACTAAAGGCGTGTGAGCCTACAACGCAGTCCTTCCATTCTACAGAGGGGGAGGGCACATGAACTACGAGCTCAAATACTTTTTGCCCAAGGTCCCAAATCTGGCAGGCAGGCAGGCAGGCAGGCAGGCAGGCAGTCTGTTGGCATATCTAAGGAAGTGTGGGCTTCTTCTACCAAAGGACAAATTTTATTTTTTATTGTGGTAAATACACATAACAAAGATTGACTGTTTGACCACTTTAGCGTAAGCAGACTGGCTGGCATAACGAGGGGCTTTTGCCCTCCCCATGTCCTCTAAGAAGTAATGTTTGCTAAAGATGCTTGGCAACTGGTGAGGCTATGAATACATGAGAAAAAGCTTACCACTTCCCACTCCTTTCCCCCCCTCCTATAAAGAGAGTTAGAATTCTATTTTTAGAGTTTCTCTTTGTTCTTTCTCTCCATGTTCAGCATCTCACACCCAGGAAGGCCTCCGGTAATAGGAAAGCAATGGAATGTTGTCTGATGAAGAAAAGACAGGACAAGTCAGGGGCTGAAAAGATGTGAGTAACAGCCATTGGGGGCCCCAGCATCACGGAGGAAGATGGGACCTTAGAAGGTCAGGAGCTCACTGGCTGCTGCCCCACCCACTCCTGACAGGCCCCTTTAGGCCTCTAGGAGTCACAGCCTTCTGCCTTTCCTGCAGATTTCTGAAGTAGTGACTTATCACAGGCTCATTATTTCCCCACAGACCCCAAGTGTGTCCCGGTGAGGCATTTTAAAGGGGCTTGCTGAAAAGCATCACCACCTGACCTGTGACCTCAGCCCATGTCTGTACTCCTGGGCCCTTTATACTCCTCTGTCTTGTGTCTGAGTCTTCCTTAAGTGTTTTCAACCCAAGCAACATCCTGTCTGCAATCACTCACCTGACTTGCTTCTGCTGCCAAGACGAAATTCAGTATTACACATGCTGGCCAGGGAGCCACAGGTGGCTCCAATACCTTACTGGTATTGGTGGCAATTAGAGTATGTCTGAGGAGAAATAGGTGGTGACTTATTAAAGGCCTGAATGTGGAGCCAGTGGTTCTATTTCCAGCATTCTTAGATAGCTCTGAAGACAAAGATTTAAATAGACACACAGACACACACACAGGGGTGGGGGCGGAGAGACAGGTTTTCTGTGTGTGTGGTGGGGGAGAGAGAGAGAGAGAGAGAGAGAGAGAGAGAGAGAGAGAGAGAGACAGACAGACAGAGACAGAGACAGAGACAACCGAGGGAAGGAGGAGAGAGATAGACAGAGAAAGACATAGAAAGAGATTAACTAAAGCTATAATATTGAGCAATGGAAAAAGGCCAAAACATTCCATATAGGAAAAAATGGTAAATAAATGATGGTTCAAGTGTGTAATGGCATATTACATAAACGTTAACCAAAGTGATCAAAACACCGCAATGATGAGAGCATCTTTCCTGCATACTATCAGGGGATGAGCAGGCTGTTGAACCAGATACAGGAATATTCTGCATTTTGTAAGAGAAATGGACCAAAATATTTCCCTCATCCCAAACTGTGGAACATAATATCTCTGGGTGGAGAAATTGTCATAGGCCTCTATTATATATTTGGCATTTTCTACAATTACAACTTAGTTCTATTAAATAATGATCATTTAAGAAACTATATTGTACCGAATTTGTTAGTCACGTGGACATTTGATAAGCTGTTCGTATCTGAACTATGGTTGGCATCCATTCTAAAATCTCTTTTTCTTCAGGAGAAGGAACCCAGGGTCTGTGGCCTCTTTCCACACAGCTATTGAACTAGACCCAGAAACAGATCTAGGCCTGGAATCTCCTGCCTGAAAGTCAGGTGGCTCCTCACAGAGACAGCTATGGAGATCCCTGGGAGAAGGTGAGAGGTGTTGGTGCCCGACCTCTCACTTCCTGGTTCACTTTGTATAACGCCTGAGATTCTGCATCCTTAACACTCTCCCAGGCGATGCTGTTGTAGCTGGCCCTGGGAC